TGGCAGCAGTGAAACGGGCACACCGTGACAGCAGAAATGCCAGCCCGAGCCTCTGCAGCGCCTGGCGAAGGAGCCGCGGGCTCTGACCGCTCCTCTCTCTCCTCCAGGCAAGAACAAGGAGTGCGCCGCGTTCATCTGCAACTGCGACCGCACCGCTGCCATGTGCTTCGCCAAGGCGCCCTACAACCCCGAGCACAAGCATCTGGACACCGACAAATATTGTAAATAGTCACCACCCTGTGGCTGTGGGCAGTCGCAGGCCAAAATAAACAAATAAATAACCTAAACGGATACTCGAGGCCGCTGCTCACCGCCGCGCTGAGGGGACGGGGCGGCGGGGGGGCGTGGGGGAGAGAGGGAAGCCCCGCCCCCGCTGCCCACGGCCCTGTGTGGCGCGTGAGGCGCCCCCGCGTTCTCTGATTGGCCCTTGGAGGCGGCGGGGGCGGGGCGCACCTGCTCAGGGCCTCGCGTGCCCCGCCCCGCCCCTCAGGTGCCCGCAGGCGGGGCTGCTGAAGGTGCGGCTGCGGCTTCCCGCCCTCACCCTCCCGGGGCCCCTCGGGGCGACCGTCCCTGCCTGCCCTCACCCTCCAGGGGCTCTTCGGGGCGACCGTCCCTGCCCGCCCTCACCCTCCACGGGCTCTTCGGAGCGACCGTCCCTGCCAGTCCTCACCCTCCCGAGGCCCTTCGGAGCGACCGTCCCTGCCTGCCCTCACCCTCCCGAGGCCCTTCGGAGCGACCGTCCCTGCCCGCCCTCACCCTCACGGGGCTCCTCAGGGCGCCCTTCTCCCCCGCCCTCACCCTCACGGCGCCCTCACTCTCCCGGGATTCCGGAGGGCGCCCTTCAAGCCTTCCCTCAGCCGCCCTCGCCTCGGGCTGCCCACGCGTTAGCCGCAGCACGGCTGTCCCTCTTCCCCGGGGCATCGCTGCGTGAGGGTCTTGAGCCTTTTGGTGCTCCTTTCTCCTGAGGGTCTCTGCTTACCCTGGGGAGCCCTTCCCCTATTCGCAGTCAGGAGCTGCAGAGAAGGAGGTAATGTCAGCCTGGAAGGCAGGGAGCCCCTCTGAGGGACGGTATCTGCCCTGCTTTCCCAGCCCTGCCAAGGTCCTGTGCCAAAGTTGCCCCCCACCCTTGCTACCTGTTTTGCTGGCAGATATTTTTGGAGGTGTGGGTGAACTCCTGGGGCAGGGTCTACACACACCTGCTTGCTGGCAGGGCATGAGGAGGGCGCCGGTTCATCATCAGAATGACCTGTACCCAAACATGGAGCAGACCCCAAGGACCTGAGAGTTCTCTGGGAAATGAGAAACAAATGGAGAAAGAAGCTGGCTTGGTATGTTATTGGAAGGTACTTGCAATGCCTTCCTTCTGAAAGTAAATGTATCTTTGAGGGCATTAGAATGATATTGAGAAAGGATAGTGAATTGCATTTAGTTCTTCTTTTCCTTGAAAAGGGGAAGGGATTGTGTCACAGCCAGACATTCAATTTTAAGATAGATTGAGTCCTGTTATTTTACCAGTATTTGTTGCTTATTTTTCTCACGTATTTGTGTTATGTGAATTTTCTGGAAACACTGAGTGCTTGGAGTCTTCCACAGAAATCTTGAGGATCCTGGGTGCGATTCTGTCATATGGCAAAAATGAATCATTCTTAGGGCTGGAAGAGCAAGATGAGGTCTCTTGTACTCACTCACTAGCTTAGATTCTCTGAAATTATTGTTTGTAGAACAGTAAAGCTCCTAAGTAAATGTTACTAAAATCCCCTTGTGATAAACCTCATTGTAGAGAAAAAAAGTAAAATATCATCACTATCTGGAAGGAACACTACACTTTTGAGCTGTATTATCACAAGTAGTGAAGATTGCTGGGGTGCATTGGAAGCATTTCAGAGACTCAGTATGAATTTTGCCTGTAACAGGAACTCTAGATTTGAGGTGAGCAGTATATCTACTCCTGGCATTCAGCATTTGGAGCATGCTAGCATTCCCTAGATAAACCCCATAGATAGATAAAGGCTCAAATATATTCCATATCTGTCTTACTCCATACAGATTTTATAAGCCTGCACTTCTGTTTGATCCCTTGATCACACTTCTCATTTCCCTGCCCTTTTGGTGGTGTGAAAGACCCTCCATTAAACCTAAACATTCCCCATCCATGGGGAGCCTTCCCACATAATGCAGAGTGTCAGGGCCTAATGAACACACAGGTGGGGAGGCTGAAGGGGTTGTGCAGAGCTGCTCATTAGGGCTTTGAGGAACATTGTGGGAAGAGTAAGAGCAGGGCTGGTGACTGCTTGAACTGCCAGTGTAGGGGAGTACAAGTAGTGTGTGAAGATCTACCATGCTGGTCTGTACTTCTGTTCCAAAGCAGAAAGGGATTGCCTGGAATGCCAGGTATCCCTGTGCTCAGCAAGGGGGAGCTCTGAGACCCTACACAGCACCACAGCTGGTGCTTGGGATGCTGGAGGGAGAGCAGCTCCCTGGGCTCACTGCAGAAGTGAAGCCTCAGTCTCTTATCTTTTCTCTATTGTTGTTTTCTATGCCAAGATTTTTCACTCTCTGCAGGGAGGGCTGAATTACTCTTAACTACATGGGCATTGCACAGATGAAAGGGAGTGCTCCAGCTGAGGTGAGACGTGCAGAGAGCAAACAGTTCTGCTGATGGTAATGATCCTGTGCCAGTTTCTGTTTGGGCCTGGAGACCAATTCGAGACACTCGCACTGTTGCTCGTCCTCTTCAGGCTCAGCTTCTCTTTTTCTCTGCCATTGTCTGGTTAGTGGTGCAGAAGGGAAGAAGTGCACTGGGTACCTTTCCTTGGGAAGGAAGATGACCAGGACCTGCACACAATTGCAGGAACAGTCTGGAACAGTGGTTTTAAAGCCCATCTGGCTTGACTCTGCTGTTTCCCTGCCTGCTGCAAAGGCTGGGAAAGGGTGACATCCAAGGCAGTCACAGGGGAAGAAGCACACTCTAGATGGTGGATTTAGTCACCTTCACTCCACTGAACCTCACAAATTCTGCATGCCCTGGGTTTTGGGTCATTTTCCAGAAGTAATGAACAAGCAGGTGTGTCAATAGGAGCAATCTGACTGTAAGATGTGGGAGGCTGCACTTAGACCATGGGCACCAAACCCTCTGGGCCATTGCATTCTGTGCTGCCCTCACTGTAGCTCAGTATGTAAAATACCTTCCTCAGACTTCTGGACTCAGTTACAGATGGCTCTGAGAATTTGCCCAGAAACAAAGACAAGATTTGCCAAATAGGAAGTAACTTTTATTTGCTTTGGGTAACTCCAACCCCACTTTCAGAGGAGCAGAAGAAAAATCCATTATAACGTACTCTCAGCTCCTCTATCCAAGCTTCAGGAAGAACAGCTGTAAGAAAAAGAGAAGAGCAAAAGCTGTTGATTCAGCTAATTTCATGTCATGGCTTTTGGTGTAGGAATTTTAGGCTCTCTCAGGCATTTCTCATGTGAGCAAACTTAATGGTATCTTGGGGAATATGTTAAGAAGTGAAGTGTTCTGATCCTGTTCTAAAAGAGGTCAATTTTAGTACTGCTAGATCAACTTAGCAGAAAAAAGAAGGAACTTCTTTATCTCAACCTCATATAGTTGTTGTAGATATGCTCATTACCATATAGTAATAAACCATGCAGAGGAAATTTACTGTTATTTTCATTTATTCTGAGTCATTGTCCTGGTGGCTTAAAAGTACAGTGAAGTTGGGGGAATGACTCATCTGAGAGTGATGCTGAAGGCACACCCTGACTCCTCTCCCACAGGCTCAGCTGCAGAACAGGAGAGCAGGCAGGGGTAGATGAGGGAGCTTTAGTTACCTGTCACAGAACTCATTCCAAGACTTGTTTTAGACTGCTTGGCAATGCTCCCACACCTTCTCAAAAGGCTGGCTCTACTGGCACTGAACCTGCAGCCCCTGGTTTTGACACAGCACTGTGGTGTAAGGTTCATGGAGGGGGAGAAGATGATGTGGATAGTGAGAAACTCAGCCCCAGCTCCTCTGCTAAGGAGGCATCAGCGTCTCTTCTTACAGGGAAAGCCCCTACATGTAAACATGGTGTAGGTGGAGACTCTGCTGTGCTTTAGGCATGATTTCTGCAACAGCTTTGGTTGGTGGGACAGCTGTACTGTGACAGGACTGCTAAAGATGGAGAGAGATCTGTGAGCTTTGCTCACTGCCAAGCAGCAGAAACCTGAGTCACTGCAAAGTGGAGTCACCATTCAACGCAAGCAGAATGCAGGTGGGAGTCCTGAACTGTTCTTGCTTGGCTTCAAACTGAAGCTGTCTCTCCTCTAACCCAACACAGCCAAAGCTTGAAATGTATCAGGCATCTTAATGCCTTCTGCAGAAACTGGATGCCTTATGTATCCCTTAGATTCTCTGCTTTATTTGCTCTCTCCTGGCATGGATTTGAATCAACAACAAAGCAAAAATGAACTTTGCATCCTGTGGTCAGCTGTCCTTGCTTTGCTACTCGACCTTTTAGCAGATGACTCTAGCATCCTTGTTTTCAACTGCTTGTTACAGTTCTTGTCAAAATATTAGTCCAGGATGCGTTACTTGAAGTAGGAGGGGGCACTTGGAAAACCCCAACAATTAAATCCCTCAGAGCTAGAATGGGGGAGTGAGTGGTGGTTTCATGAAGAAGGTCAGGTCAAACTGTTAGTGTTCTAGTTTGTGCCAGGTTCTGTATTTTACTCTGTGGACAGTTTGACAGAGTTTGCAATCCCATCCTGAAGATCAACAAAAAATCATTACCCAGTTAGTGATGGATCTCCTGTTAGGAGTGTGGAAATTGCACCTTTCAACAGAGATTACCTCCTGAGGGAGACCTATTGTACAGATTTAATTGTATTTCTCTCTTAATTGATCAGCTGCTAGTAATTGCAACCTGCATTTTTGCAGTGGAAAAAGAAGAATCTAAACTGGCTATTGAGAATGTACTTAAATCATGGGAGGGAGAGAAAATTACAATGCAAAGAGTCTCAGTCTTCTAAACAATTTTAATTGATTCCTTAGCTATTAATTAATTAATAACATCTTCAAAAAATGCATTCTGGAAAATGTAGTGGCCTCACTGAAAGTAGTGCTGGTCAGATTAGCTTCAAGTAACTCCTCTGGCATCTCAACAATGTTTAATTTTTCAAGGGGTCAGATAGGAAGCAGTTTAATTTGTCAACCAACAGTTGAGAGAAATGCTGACTTCCCCTCCTTGCTGGAAGACATCAGCCCTTATAGCTTGTGCTTCCAACTAATCTGTTACAAGAGCAGTGTTCTTGTTCAGTTTCTATTTTGAACCTTTTTTCTTTATAGTGACCACTGCAGTTCCTCTTGCCTCCTTTTCCTCTTTGCTCACTCTACAGTATCCCACCAGTGCACTGGATCCCCCAGCAGTGTCCCACATCGCCCTCCTGTGCTACAGCCTCAAATTACCTGGTCAAAATCCCCGTCCCACCCTTCTCCTCTGGGGACAATTATAAAAAAGGTTTTTTGTCCTCAGACATGGCAGTCCAATTATCCTGTCCCAGTGAATTAAAAGGCACTGTTTAACGGCAAGGTAAGGCAGAAAAGTACTTTTTTTTTTTCATCCTCATTCTGTTTCCTGATACGTGAAGATGGTTTCAGTGGAGAGCACTGGTGAGGCTGACAGGTGTGAGGCTTGCTGCCCTCTCCTGGTGCCCTCAGCTGCTGTGCACTGCATCTCACAGCTGCCTCTTGGATTGGAGTTTTCCCCTTTCTGAGATGAGTCCTGCAGGAGAGGCAGAAAGAAGCTCCTTTATCGACTAAATTGATTATTTTGAACAGCAGTGTTTGATTAGGATTAGCTGGACCAATTCAATCAGGAACAGCTTTTGAATTGTCAGGCAATTCACTGCAAAGGCAACAGTTGTGATCAGGTGATCCCCTGTAGCTTCCTGGTGGTAACTAATGGATTGGAATTCTACACTACTGAGTCTTCTGGATACTCCTACCCAATTCTCTGGGAGTGCTAGCACTAAGTATGTTTCTTGTTTATGATCATGGGAAACAGTATCATGGCCCATCAGATCAGACCAATTACAGATTAAAATTTACAGCCACCTTTTGGTGCAGTGAGGGAACATTTTGTCAATCAGCACATCTCAGCCTCAGCATTTGCCAGGAACCCATATTGTTACCCTGAAAGGTGACTGACCAGGGAAGGTACTCACCTTGTAAAAATAACTTTAATCCTGCTAGCTACTGAAGCTCAGCTGGTTGGGTCATGTGCAAACAATCAAAGGCAGCAGCTCTCCACAGCGGAAATTCAGCTTTAAGGATGCAAAGTGATCCAACCTGGTGGGCCCAATGTTAAGGACTGCAATTGGCAGCTTCTTCTCCCGGGCAGCAAGAGCAAACCTGTAACCAGAGTACACCTGCAGGAGTAGCAGAAAACACAAAAATACAGGCAGCTTAGGCAAAGGAAGTTACAATAATAGGAATAAAATAGCTGCCATTGGCAATGGGAAAAGGGCTGTACATACATGCTGTGTTAGGCAGCTGCACTGAGCTCAGGTAGGAAATGTCTTCATTCAGGAGTGCACAGAATAGAACAGCTTTTAAACTCTGTCAGTGAAGGATTTGCAGTTTCATAGAAACTGAAACTTCAGAGCAGATTGAAGGGAAATGTCCTTGTCTTTTAGTAAATCTCTGCAGCAGTTTTTATTAGTTATCACAGGTACTTAAACGCTGCACTTTGATGGTTCCTGCACAGCCCAGCTAAGGTAGTACAAGAACAAACCTAAGGCATTTCAATCATTCCTGTACAGAGGATTATAAGCTTAAGAAGTGCAAGCTTAAGGAATTTGTATCCAGTATCCTGAAGCCAAGAGAATCACAATCAGGCAGCCTTGGTTTTATCTTCTTCTGGGAGGTGTTAAGAATAAGGGTTTTTTTATGTAATAGAACTTGTTCCTGGAAAAAAATTATCTTACATAAACACCATTACAAAAGCTTCTATGGGTTTAGAAGCTACCTTACCTTATAGATAAGAGGCTAGTGGAGAAAACATATTGTGATACAAAGGACAATCCCAAGCAGCAGAGATATTTCAGCTCTCTTATTGAGAATTTAATAAAGAATGAGAGGTCCTAAACCCTGGTATTTTACACAGCGTGCCATGAGGCCTAAAAAGCTACCAAAGGCTAAAAATTTCAGGTAAAAAAAATGTGAGGAATGAATTGTATCAGGTCTCTTGCCTTTATGGACAATTGTGACCTGATGGAGGAGGCAGCAGAGAGAGGTGTGAGTGGAGGTATTTACAGCAGCATGAAGTAGACGGGCAAAGAGTGACAGGGAAGCCCAAACAGGTCACCCATCAAGCCAGATTCTAACCACAGTAAAAATGAAATACAAAGAAGGTCTGCAAGTGCTGGTCTGATCCACAAGCCATTTGTAGTCCTAAGCTGTGGGACCAAGGATCATTGCAGGCAGAGAAGCAGGAATGCAGTTTGGGAGGCAGACCTACTTACCTGCATAGAGGATCCTGCTATCAGCATGGAGTCTGATTCTGCCAGGCGCTGGTGTACAAAACTGACTTTTTCCTGGCTCACTGTGTCTCCAAAGAAGGTCACATCAGGCTTCAGGATCCCACCACACTTACGGCAGGCTGGGACTTGGAAAGTGCGCACCTGCTCGTCCGTCAGGAAGACATCCCCATCCGGAGCCACCCCAAACGCTTCAGCTTTCCAAGTGGGATTCAGAGCTTCAAAGTGCTCCTGCAGCTCAGAACGCAAGATTCGGTCTCCACAGGCCAAGCAGAAAACCCTGAAAATTAGAACAAAGTCTTAATAGAGAGTTTCAGGTCAGCTGAAGATCTGGAGACTCTAACTTGTTCCTTAGGAGGCCTGTCATGATTTTCCACATTTATTTACCAAATAGTACAGGTCAAGATGTCTTTCTACTCTGTTGCTTTGTAGGAATGCTCTAGAGGAAGTGCTTTCAACCCTGCCATGCATCCTCTCTCCCAGTTCATGCTGTGCTTTTTCATCTAGAAATTTTGGGTGATCCCAGACAGGCTGTGATGGCCCTTCTCCAGTACATATATCCCATGCAATTCTGGCACTGTCCACTCTGCCTAAGGTGGATAATCCTTGTACCCTCATGATCCCTTTGTTCTCTTTACTAAGAGGACATCTGCTGTACCAAGGAAAGGGGAAATGGATGCAGGTTTCAAGGAAAGTGATCCAAATAATGCTCCAAAAAATGGAGTGGTGGTCATGTTTCTTAAATACCATGCTGTCAACAGCACTGGGTTGTGATTTTTTCTCCACCCCAACCCAATACCACCTTTGTGTCTGTCATCTCCAGCAATGCAGTGTGAAGATTTTGCCTCCTTTCTCAGCAGCTGGCAGTGCAGCTGTGTCAGTCAGCACTGAGAGCCCCCAGTGCCAGCAGCTGTACCTGTGTGTGCAGCCGTGCAGCTCCGTCATGCGCTGGCTCCCGGCTTTGGTGTGAAGGGCATCCACGTTCTGGGTCACCAGCCAGTGCAGCTTGCCCAGCTTCTCCCAGTCCCTCAGCACCAGGTGTGCCTTGTTTGGCTGGTGGGAGGAGAACTGGGGCCAGCCCACAAAGTTCCTTGCCCAGTAGCGCTGCCGGGCGCTGGCGCTGCGGACGAACTCGGCGTGCTGGACGGGCCGTCTGTCTGTCCTGGCGTAGAGCCCCACTCCCTCAGAGCGGTAATCGGGGATCCCTGACTCGGTGGAGATACCAGCTCCAGTCATTACAAACAGCCTCTTGGAGTTAGAAACAAAGTGCTGCAGCTCCTCCACTTCTGCAGGATCTGGGGGAAGACAGGCTGGCACAAAAGTCAGGTTTGGAGAGGCTCTGGATACAGAACGGGATCTGCAATGATGCAGTCTGACAGCTCTGAAAATGCCACACCACTTCCTGGCAGAGAACATGTTCAGCTAAAAGGCAAGAACAGAACACATGGAAGGTAACAGAAAGCAAAAAGCATGTCCTTAATGCCATTTGCTTGTGATTCTCTGGGAAATTATGCTGTTAAATATTCTTTGCTCTCTTTTTAGTAAAGAAACAAATTATTTTGGAAATGTGAACTAAAACTCAGCATGCAAGTATGTTCTTTTGGAAGAGGGGAACACTGAGAACAAAGTTAACAACTCTGACTTGCAGGGTTCCTGCTGTTCTACCCTGGTGTGAAGGATGGCTGCCTAAGAGGGCTTGTAAAGAGTGCAGAAGGACCTGTGCATGTGAAGCCTTTCCCAGGTATGTGCAGCAGGCCAGAGGAAATGGCAGGAAAGCCAAGTACCCCACCCCAGAGGCACTGGCTGGTTCCTCCCCAGAAGAGACCCTTGTTCTGCACTTTTAAACACTCTGCCTGCTCCAAATCAGTCTTTTAAATTTACCCCATCCTTAACACATGTTGTAGGAAGGGAGAGAAAAACAACCTCAAAATGTTTTTTTTTCCCTGACGAAGGCCTTGACTGGAGTTACTCCTGTGTGGCATGTTTTGGTTGTTTTTTTTTTGTTTTTGTTATTTACAAAGGCCTGGTGCAGAACAGGCCTTGAAATGGGACTGAAGATGATTAGGGCACTGGCTAAATGCCTCTGGCACCTTCTCTTCTGTGGGTGCCACCTCCCAGAGTCACTGGGGAGCTGGACGGGCACTGCTTTGCTTCTCCAGCAGACACAGGAGCTTTCTGAGAGAGAAGGGATCATCCAAAGTGTTTGGGGAAGAAGGAACTGCCTGGCAGGTAGGAATGGGAGGGACACCCTGCTTTAAGGGAGGAATGCCATGCCCTGCTGGGGCAGGCAGGATGGATGGCTTTGCTGACTAAGTAGCCTGGAATTGTGTGCAGGACCTGTTGAGACACGAGTGCATGGGTTTGGACTTTGATTTTGTTTGTGCTTTTGAGCAGTCTGCAGTTCTTTCTCCATTTCACTCTTTTAAAACTACTCTTTCTGGGCCTTACTGTGGTTTTGCAAACAATGTACAAAAAGCTTTGAGCAACAGTTCTGAGAATTGACTGTCTGGTATTTTTGCCTCCTTAAATCTCCCTAAGCAGGGGGGCTTGTACAAGATGTGGAGGACAGAGGAAGAACTTTATTTACTGATAAAAGGGGATGATCTCCTGAACACCTAAACTTCAGATGTACTTAAATATTGCTCTGTTTACTGTAAGACCTAGTACTGGTGGGTAACTGAGGGCTTACATACAGCTGAAGTTGAGGTGTTCAGCTCCAAGCACTGTGATGCTAAATTGTTGCTAGTGGCAAAGGGTAGATTTGCCTCAGTTAGTCTTCAGTTCTCAAGGCTTTTTGTCATCATCAGTTGAAATGCAGGGAAGATTGGACAGACTCCACAGTCTGAACTGCTTTTTGTATCTAAGCAGTGATTCTGTTTGCAATGATTTTTGCTTTGTTTTGCTGTTTAGCAGGAGTCGTGTTGGGCATTCCCTCTAAAGAGGTTTAATTTCCCATATGAATTCATTAGAAGGGACAAAGGCTCCCAATAAACTAATTTGCTTTGAGAGTAACTTGTGTCATGATGCTCCCCAAAGGCTGTTAAGCCAGCTTGATGGTAATTAAATTGCTTTAACTGATGAAAACTCTTCATTCCTGCCCCTTATCATCAAAAGATCTCTCAGAAGGAAATGTTCAGAGGCGAAATGAAATAGAAATATAATAGGGGTTGGCCCACAAGAGAGAGAAAGCAAAAATTACAGATACATTTGAAAGCTGCTGTGAACCAGGTAAGGACTATGGAAGAGAAAATGTTAAAGGATGGAATATTTCTTGTCAAATACAAAGCTGCTTGTAAAATGAAAGTGCTGAGATTAAAAAAAAAAAAAAAAACAAACAAAAAACCAAAAAAAACCAAAAAAAGACAAACCAAAAAAAACCCCAACAACACCAAAACAAAAAAAGCACCAAAACCCCAACAAAACTACTTTACATAAGTGGAACTCTTTAAACGTACCTACGGAGATTTGAGGCTAGAGTTTGTTTTTAGCGATGCTCCATAGGAAAAGATCAGGCAAGGTTAAGGTAGAAGAGAAACAGGATCCTACAAACGGCTACAGGCCAGAAATCCAAAGGGACCCCCGCGCCATAGGGACCCCCACGTGTCCCTTGTGCTGTGACAGCGGCGGGGACGGGGTGGCAGCCGAAGCGAAGCCGGCTGGTGAGAGAAGAGCGGTGCGGTGACCAACGCCGAGAACTCACCTGTCATGGTGCTGCCTCCCGGCCGCGGAAGGACGGGGCTGGCTGCCGGAAAGGGGAGCCCGCTGGGAAATGTAGTTCACGGGGAGAAATGTGCACCAAGCACAGAGACTACAGCTCCCATCAGGCAGAGGGGGAGCGAAAGGTGTTCCCGACGTCCAAACACCTGAGGCAGTTTGAGAACGCTGAGAGATTCATAGCAGCCCTCAGGGAAACGTGTGAGGTTAAAATCCGAATTTATTGGGTACAAATGCATGCGATGGCTTTGCTAAAATGCATTGTAGATGCTTGTCGTTATAAAATATGTGTTTTCTTTTAACCAATACCAACATGTTTTAGGCTTAAAATGTGGCTAAATAAATTACTGAAGAAAAATCCACTGAGGGCTATTAAAGATACGTCTAGCTTGGGAATTAGGGCAGTGCCAACCTGTCTGCTACTGACTGTGCACCCTGGCAGGAACCCATCTCTTTGCCTGCCTGCTCGGTGCAGGTTTCAGGCTCAATAATCACCTGATAATTTGTTTAGTTTGCCTGGCAATAAGGAGTTCGTGTTTGGTTTTCTTCTTTTTCTTCTTTTTTGTTTTGTTTGGGTTTTGTGTTTGCTTTGTTTTTCTTCAAATGAGGCTTATATTTCTGAGGAACAAATAATATGAGGAAGGCCAGACTGCTGTATGGTAGCAGCCTGGTGCACTGGATGCCCAGCAGTCTTACAGACAATGTGCTCTTTCTAAAGATTTCGACTGCTTTTCAAATGCATTCACCAAAGAGCTCTTGCTAAACAGTTCCAAACATTGCAGAAAGTTTTAATACTTTTTTTTTTTTTGGTCTCTTACAGTAATTTAAAAAACCAGGTGAGCCTGAGCGTCTGTGTACCAGTGTGTAATTCTGTGATCACAAGGAAGAAGAGCATCCTGCAGTGCCTGTCCCTCTGCCCCTGGGCATAGCTATGGAGTGCAGCCTTCTTTTTGGCAGCTTCGTGAGTCTAAACGACTTTCAGTGATCTATACTTTAGGAGTTTAAACGTGTTTTAAACCGTTGGGTGATGACTTTGCTTTGGTGGCACCCGACAGACGCCCTTTCTCCCCGGTGCTCCTCGAGAGCGCCCCCGCTCCTCCCAGGATGGAAACCCGCGATTTTTGGGCAATGCCCCCGGCTCGAGCAGCGCCTTCCCGGCCGCTCATTACCATACTGCCCTCCCGGCAACCTCCGCGGGTCCCGGCGGTGCCCCGGGCCCCCGGTGCATCCCTCCGTGGCCTCCCGGTCCATCCCCGGGTGCCGCAGTGTTGTGCGGGCTGCGGGCGGGGGGCTGCGGGCGGGGGGCACCGGGACCCTCGGCAGGCGCTCTGAGCGCGGCGGGGGCGCGGCGGCCCCGGTGCCGGGAGGGAGCGGCCCCGTGGCAGCCTTGCGCAGTGGCAGTATCGTAGCCGATGAGGGTATTCCGAGGCGCGATTATTGCTAATTGAAAACTTTTCCCAATACCCCGCCATGACGACTTGAAATATAGTCGGCATTGGCAATTTTTGAGAGCCTCTACGGAGGCGGATCTAGCGTGGTTAAAAGATAGATGTTCAGAGAAAAGAAAGGGCATGGGTTCAAGCTTTTCGTTCTCAGAGATGGAGATAACTCGGCAAATTTAAGAGTCTTGTTTTTAGAAGTGGGGTAACTCAGCTTATGCGTTACTCCATGTCTAGTTTCATTGATAATTTCTCGTTCAGCACGTAAAAAAAAAAAAAGACACCGAATTCTTTATGAAAAGCGCGCTCAGTTTATTGAACAGTGCCCTGTGCTGGAGCAGGCGCGGGCATGCTGGGCAGGAACTCGAGCTGGGATGCGCTCCTCGGCGCGGTGGCCGCTCGGGGCTGCCCGGGGCTCACGGTCCGGGCTGCCCTGGCTCGGTACACCGCGGATGCGCGGAGGGGCCCCCTCGTTGTGCGCGGGGCTGCCCGCCGTGACGTCACGCTTAGTTTGCATATTCCCTCCCAGCAGCCTTTGCGGGTGTACCGGGGGCCCAAAATGGAGGCAGAACGGAACCCCCCCGGTTCCGGCGGAGCGCGGGGGGCTCGGGGCAGGCGGGGGGCGCAGCCGGGAGGGTGCAGGCAGGAGCGGGCGGGCGGGGGCACTCACCGCGAGCTGGGCGGCAGCCCCGGGGCCAGTGGCGGCGGCGGCGGGGTAGCCCCGTCAGCTTTGCGCAGTGGCAGTATCGTAGCCAATGAGGTTAATCCGAGGCGCGATTATTGCTAATTGAAAACTTCTCCCAATACCCCGCCATGACGACTTGAAATATAGTCGGCATTGGCAATTTTTGACAGTCTCTACGGAGACTGAAAATTCTGGTGAAAAATAGATGAAACTCAGATAGAGGATATCGGCTTAAAGGATGAATGGAGCGGGGTTCTACCTCGCGACTGGAGAAGTCTAGTATGGAAGATAATCCGGTTTTTGTTCTGTCGGCGCTGCCCTGGTTTGCTGCCACCAAAACAGCGGTTTAATAAAATGAGGGCGCTGTTAAATAAAAAGCTCGTTTCTTTTTCTCTCAAAATTACTGAAAAATGAATCGGTCAGCGAAAACGGAAGTGGAGGGGCTTAGGTGCGGGAGAAAGGTTTCTGGAATAGCTCTTGTAGAGCAGGATCCTTAGGAGAGCTCAGCCTCTCAACAGGCAGGGAGGAATCTAGGGGGAGTGAAAGTCTGAATCGTGCTTCCCCAGCTGCAGAAGTCCTCTAAAACCCATTAGGGAACTCCTAGTGTAAAGTACTGTAAACTCCATTTTGTGTGCAATTCTTTATTGACATCACTTGCTTTAAGAAAAAATAAAACAATAGAAAAAGGCTCCTTATTGTCAAAGAAACCTTTCCTCTGGAAAAAGCAGCTACTGGTGCCAATGCCTATTATAAGTAAACCCATCCTTTCCTAATTTGCAGCAATTGAGTAGCTCGGCAGGCCCTGCAGAGGGAGAGTAGTGACCACTGCCCAGCAGCTCGGCTGGGGCTGTGCTGCAGGTGGGAGCAGCTGCCCTCTGTCACTCTGTGTGAGTGAGATGAACTTTCTGCTGCTGACAGCCTGCCTCTGCCATGCTCTGAATGGGCAGAGAATCAGATCCACGAGTGCCATCTGATGCTCCTGCCCTGCCCTTAGACCCTGAGCTGGGCAGCTACTTGGAACTTTGGTAGAGTAGAAAACTTAGTAGTGAACATCAGTGTTTCCTCTTAATAATTACTATTATTTTTTAAATAACATTCAGTCATGCTGGGATATCATACACAACAGTGACCAGGAGTGACAGTGAAACCTCATAGATTGCCTTTGTCCCCCCATTTGTTCCTATTGCCAGCAACATCACTTGAAATCAAACCCTGAAGCATAGGGATACCATTACCCTTTGGCAGAATAAGTCACACTGGTAAATAGCAAAGGCATATGTAGTTTGCAGTGAGTCATACACTTCAGGTAATTTCTTGATTCTTATAAACTGTGTTGGTAAGTATTGGATCTGTCACTTGGTTGTTTCTCATTTTTGCTGCCAGAATTTGCTATCTGTGATAATGCCTTGGTGTGGTGCTTTCAATCTCATTGCAATGTCCTACATCCAGAAACCAAGTTTGTGAATTTTGCTGTAATGGATCCTTTCAACAAGTGTGAAGTTGGACCTCGAATGTGGGAGTTGCATGTTGTGATTTACTGCTATTGCCTGAAACCTAAAGCTCCAATTGAAAATTTTTCCCTTGCATTCACCTGAAGAAAGAGCAAAATGCCCTTGCATGATGTTCATGTGGCACAGCACAGAGGGCACACACTGCAATGAAGGTGCTGTCATTGCTCTGCAGTTTCAAGTCACTCTCTGGAAAGTGCACAGGTAAGTTCTAAACATGCCTCACAGGCCAGTGGAGTTTCATTTCTCTTCTCTGACAGTGATTGAAAATAATGATGCTTTTCTTTGGTGGTGTTATGAAATGGATCACTCCTCTGTTTGGCAGCCAGTCTGAAATGACAAGGCACTGGTGGATGTTAATCCATCAACTCTGAGGGTCTTGTGTGTGGTCAGTGGGTTAAGCTGCCCTTTGAGGGACTTGGTCTGTAACTGGTAAATAAATGACTCTTCAACAAGAGGGAAAGATGCCTTGAGCAAGTACTCTGGCTGCGGATTGTGTGGACTCAGGAATGCTCTGAACATGGATTGTGTGGAGACAGGAAGCCCTAAAGTTCAACATTTTGTTGATGTTGACTCACTGTATAACTTCATTTCCAGTTCCCAGCCCTGTTTCCCTATATCTGCAAACGGGGGTGGTAACTTCTTGTTACACCTTCTGTGAAAGACAAGGGTAAATCAAAATGTCTCAGCACAGGGCACAGCATAAGAGGAAGGCTGTGTATTTCTAGCAGCAAGCAGGTGTTTGTGAGTCAGGGAGAGTCTGAGGCAAAGAGCAGGTCAGTGATGAGGCAACAGCAGTTCAAGGCATTGGGAAGGACAGGGCTTGAGCCCACACCACGGAAGAGTTGCCTCAGCAGCTGGGGTTTTAACCTGCCCCTACTCCTTCAGCTCTCATGGGAGGGTTAGGGACTGGCAATTTTAGGTAAGAAATGTCAATGTGTGAAGAATTCAGTTATGAACAGCACCTGGCTGTGAGCAGGTTGGTTTAAAAGCAGTATGCCTAGAGGATAGTATCACTCATGGGACAGCCCTGTCTCCCACCCCACCTTTCAATGCAGTGCACAACCCATAGGCAAAGCTTTAGAAACAATGACTTTATTTTTTCGTTTTTAACACTGAGCATCTTGGACATAACCTATTTCTTGTGGGTGCAACCCTAGCTGGTTTTATGACAGCTTATTTTCAGCCCTGAGACACAATAGAAACTGCTTTCTTGATTTACATTCACTTCCAGACTCCCAAAGGACATCGTAGGAAGCTGAAAATAAAAACTGCATACCAGGCTACAATATGAACAGAGCACAGCAGGCACTTTATTTATGCAGAGGTAAAAATACAACCCAAGTTGAGGCACATGCTTGTCACATGTTGGTGGAGGAAACATGCAGACCCCAGGAAAGGACATGTTTCTAATGACTTCAGATCTGCTCTGTGACCAATCAGTGCTAGTGGTTTATGCTGCTCCACCTGGAGACATGCATCCTGAAGTTGTCATTGTAAAGCCAGTGATGGATTTTGAGAAAATTTAACAGTCCCTCCAAATAATGTTTTACATTTTGCTGAGGCAGACCAGCAAGGGGGATGTCAGGTGAGATCTTTGGCATGGATGGTGAAGCATGCAGTGAAAGTCTTTACTTACACTTGTGTTGTACTTAGATCTCAGTAAGGATATTATTTCTCCAATACAACTGTATTTGGAGTAAAAGCTGGAATGAATTTCTTGGAGGTTTTTGACTATTCATAAGCATTGGCTGGGATGAGGGAGGAGATATTTCCCTGCCCCCCTAGCGATAATTCCCATTAAAGCATGACTTAACACAGGAAATAATGATGTCTGACTTGTGCTAGCAGGGGAAACTGGGCATGTTTGTGCCTAGAGAGTAAAAAATACAGCACTGGAGATTGCTCACAGCTGACCTCACGGTCTCTGTTTAATGGAAATACAATTCCGTAATCTCAGCTCAACAACAGGACATGTGCTGTTCAGTTCTGGGAACATTCTCTGGCTTGGTAGTAATTTTGTAAGGAAAAGAGCTACAAGAGTCATGTTTCCTGGATCTTCGGCAGTTCCCACACTGATATTTTTTGGTGTATCTCTCATCAGATTAAGAAGTGAACATTTGGGCTGAGCAACTGCCTTTACTGCCATGTCAACTTGGCTGGAGCACAGTGGGAAACAGTAGCTCTGATGAGGGTTGGGCTGTGCTGTGGCTCAGACAAAGCAAGGACTTTGCTGCCTTGGAGTGTTGTTCTATAGAGGTTTGAAAGGAAAAGCATGTGGGAAATGATGGTTCAAGATCATCACATGAGAAATCCAGGTGGGCTGTTATAGTCCTTGAACACAGCAAAGGAGAAGTAGCTGGTGACTTTCCTGTATGGTGGCCACAGCTTATGGAAAATTGGTCAGGAAAGGTTTCTGCTGCCCAGCTTCCCTGGGATGGGGTAAATCAGCTGAGGCTCTGAAATGTTTGTTTGAAGGTTTCGGGGCACAGCCGCAGCACCCAATAATCCCGGTGCGGCCGCATCAGTGTACCGGGAGGACAATTCCTCTGGGAAAGGCTCCTGCAGGGCACAGTGCGGGGCTCGTGTCGCGTTCCCGCTCAGTCCCGGACGCGCGCGGGGCCGCAGGAGCGGGGCGGCTCCCGTGCGGCAGGACAGGCTTGGCCCCGGGGTCCGCGCCCCGCGGGTGGCGGCTCCGGGCGCTGCGGCCTCTCCCGGCAGTCCCGGGGCCGTTTCCCAGCCCGGGGCCCCGACCCCGCTGCTCTGCCCGGCCCGGGCTGGCGATTCCCGCGGCGGCCGCCAGGGGGCGGCGCGGGGCGCGCGGCGGGGGCGCGCTGGCGGGCGGGCGGGCGCGCGCGGGGGCGGGCCGGGAAAGTTGCGGGCGCTGGGGCGGCGGCGGCACCGGCGGGGCGGGAGCGGCTCCGGGCGCGGCGGCACCGGCACCGGGCACGGCGGCACCATGGACGACTTGGGTGAGTTCCGAGCTGCGCGGGTTCCCCGCAGCGGGGGCCGCCTCCCCGCCGCGCCCCGGGCGGCCGCGGTCCGCCCGGCCACGCTGCGCCCCTCGGCGCCGCGGGGCTCGGGCCGCGCCTGTCGCTCCGGGGACGTGTCGCTCCCCGCGCACCGCGCCGGCCAGCCCGGCTCCCCGCCCCGCCCGGGCCCCCGCGGCTGGGCTGTCCCGGGGCCGCCGCCCGCCCGCAGCCAGGGCAGGCGGTGGCTGTCCCGGCCGGGAAGGGCGTCCTGCGCTCCTGTGCCCGCAGCAGCGCGGAGCGTACTCGGGTTTCAGCAAACATCGCCTCCCCTGCCCCGCCGCAGCCTCTCCAGCCCGTTCTTGGGCGAGATCTGAACTTTGCGCGGGTATGGAGTGGGGAGCCCTGGGGGGATAAGCGGAGCCCAGCCGGGCTCGGAGCTCATCCTTGTCCTCCCTCTGCCTCTCCCAGGTGGGCTGCATTATTTGGTTTCCCGAAACCGTGTAATGGAGAAATGTCAGGCAACTGGTCTCAAGGGAAAGATCTAGAGAATTTGAGTTCCTTTGGTACCAAGCCGGAAAGGGTGTGGATCTGCCAAAATCCCTTGTGCTCTGGGAGGCATTAGGACGACTGAGTTCCGCTTATGAAACTGATTAAATCAGACACTGGGGAGGGGCTGTGATCCGTTACTTCCATCCTACCTTTAATAGAAACCAGACGTCCTGTCGACATATAGTCCAAGAAAATTGCAGGTTTATTTCTGGACCTGGAAGCTCACATTATGGTGCTGGCATAAAGCTGATGGTCACACCTTCAGAAAACAGACTTTGAATTGGGCTAATGATAAAACTTACAGGGCAAGGAGTCCATCTGCTGTGTGGCTTTCTGGTGAAAGGTGTGCCCATGGAGGAGTCATCCTTGGGGAGTGAAACCCTCTGCTTTAGTGAAGTAGCTGTTGGTGGAAACAGAAGTAATTTCTACTGCAGCTTCTTCTCATGGTTATTGTTCCTTTAAGTGGAGACAGCTCTGTTTACCTTTTCTCATATCCCTCAATCTGGTTATCTCTTGGAGATGTGGTGCAAGTTCGTAGCGTGTTCAGGAATGCATTGCTAGTCAGAACAGGATTCACCCGGGATTCTGTGTATTGACTTGAGTAGCACTTCAAGGTGAGCATACAGGTCTGTGTAGGGCCAGTTTAGTGTCTCAGCAGGATGCTCTTCAGTAAACCATGGGAGCCTCGCTGTGCCCACTGCAAGAGCTGCATTCCTGAACAGTGGTACTGTGACTTCCCACTTGTTGGAATAGGCTGCTGCAGTCCCTTAACATTTTTTCTTTGCTCTGTAGGAGAATTAGAGGTAAACTGCAAAGAAATTGTGAAAAAGATCTGAAATTGTGCCTGGCTTGTTTTTCTGAGCTCTGAAGTGTATTGGGACAACCAGAAGTTAGAACTTTTAGTCTGAGCAACTTGATTTCATCAAGTCTTAATTACACTGCGTCTGTCTCAATTTTTGTACAGCCTTTCAGACTGGACAAGATCTAATTGACTGTAGGCAGCTGAACAAAACAAAGTGTGACCCTTTCTCTCTGTAAGCTTTTCTGTAGTGTACAGAATTCACCACGGAAAAGCACACCAGCTGTTTTCCCTCTGTGAATCATTGTTAGCCCAAAATGGCTCACTTACTGCTCTAAAGCCATTCACCTTGGGATGCACACATAATGGAACTGTGCTGTGCTGATACAACTCCCCTGAAATAAGTCAGACTTTCGAACTCAAGTGAGAGTTGTTTGTTTTTCTTTCCTCATTATCTATGGGTGGATTATCTGAGTTGTGGATTAACTGTGCCATGGATACAGACATCTGCACTGGCCCTGTCCAGAGTCAAGCTGGTTAGGCAGGACTTGTTGGTTCAGGCACAGTGCCATGTAGACAAAGCTGCTCTGCTTCCAGGGGCAGTTTTGGCCCAAAAGGAGTTTGATATTGAGCTGGGACTTGCAGGTTCAGAGTTGATGTCAAGTAAAATCAGCTCAGATACTTCCATGCCTCGCTTCTCAATCTGTGTGGCGCAGAAATGAGCAGTGAGTGAAAGGCCTTGCTGGGCAGGAGTGAACCCCTCACAGAGACCATTGGTGTGTCTGTTCTTAACTCCCTGCCTTTATCAAAAATCTCCTCCCTCTCCCTAGAGTTGGAGGATTTGATCAGTGTGCACATGTCCACTGTAAAATGGAGGTCCAGAAGTATCTCAGTTTGGTTCTTGGACTGGAGAGCTTATGAAATGTATGAGAATGGATTTGTCTTGCTTTGAGGATTCATTTGGAGCTGAAAAAAAATCTTCATTCCCATTTCTCCCCTCCCCCAGTGTTGAAGAGGCTCACAGAGGAAACTTTCTGCAGGCTGGAGCTGTGCACCCAGTTGTTCTGGGGGAGCCTCTGTGGCCCAGGACACGCAGTGCTGGGGCTGGATGGAAACTGGAGCAGCCCGTGGTGGGAAGGGGGAGGAGAGCAGCTGGCTGGGCTTGTCTCCCTCCAGATTGTGTCCCTGCAGTCTCTCTGAGGAAGCGCCTTTGCGGATGTGCTTGGAGTTTGACAGGAAGTTTGCTGAATGAATTTGCCGTCCTGCAGTGCTGTAAATTGGCACAGAGAGCACAGCTTTGTCCTCAAGAGTGAGAATCCAGATTTGGGGCTCTTGTCCCTTTCAGGGGATTGCCAAAGCACAGCCTGTGCTTCCAGCACACAAGTGACCATCCACACATTCTCACTTCAGACAATATGAGACACTGAACTAGATGTTGAGTTACTGTGGTGCTGCCTTGTCTGTGTAGGATGAGGGAACAGATCCGTTAGGATCTGCTTGTTGCAGAGGAAGAAACCTAATTTGTAGAACTTGTCATGTATTTATGGTGAGAGGAGTAGGAGAAGAGAAACTTTACATTTGCTTTAGTCAGAGTACTGTTTTGATTTTGACTCCAGAAGTTTTTTACAGCCTTTTTCTGAAAGGATTATTTGCAAATACTACTGGGAAACCTTTTGGTAACTCCAGACAGAAATGGCTTTTAGAAGCTTTCATTTGATGAAATTCTCACTTCTCTACTGCTGTTTAAAAAACAAAATTGTTTTCAAAGGCTTCAGATATTTTTAAACTGGATTTTGCAACCAAAAACAAAACAGCATTCACCAGAGCTTGTAAAAGGTGTTTTACAAAGAAGTTATATCTGTTTAATGGGGACGTGTTTATGGCACTGTTTTGGCTGTCCACGTCAACTACATTGTGAGCTGTTTTGTTTAGGTGTGCTTTCTCACTTCTAGAAGGATTTTTCTTTTGCATAAAGTTTTTCTAGCAATTTGACTTCAAAATTCTGGGTTCATAGTTCAAGGGCACAAGAGATTTTGCTTTATTAGTTGTTTTCCTCTGTTTTAGGAACTCTAATCCACCCTCTCTTCAGTGCTTAATCCTCTCAAGATTGACTTTAAAGAGAGCAATCTTGCCATTGATTTTTCATGGGAGTGTGGAGGGAGGTGCATGTGTTTCCATCTGTCATCTGTCCTAACATTTGGAAGATTGCTGTGCTCTGCAGGGCGGTGCTGTCTGTCCCTCTCCAGAGGGGGATGCTTGCCTGTTTCTGACTCAATTCCTTTCGTCTGGGAGTCAAATGCTGTGGGTTTTGGGGTCACTTGGCTAAAGTTTGCTGTGAAATTGCTTAAGGTCAGCTACGCCCAGGAAATGGTATTGGGGGAAGCACTGGTAAAGTAATTTGGTGCCTTGGCTTTCTACTGGCTCAGATTTCTGAGTCCTTCCTGCTGCTGGGCGAGAAGGCTGTAAACAGAACTAATGCTCTGCACAATGGGGTTCTGACTTGTTTCAGCTCCTTAGCTGTTGTGACCCCTCGTAAAACAGGGACTTCATTGTCCTGAGCAGCTCAGACAGGGAGTCCTCTGCCTCAAGCAGTGTGCGATGCAGAGAGAGGCTTCTTTTCTTGTTGCTCTATTTCCACGGAAAGGCTGGACTCTGTGCTGTCTTTAGCTCCTTTGTCCCTCTCTGGGAGAGGTCAACTTATCCTAAGTGTTCAGCTGCCCTCCTGGTTAAAACTGATCCTCCGACACCATCTCTGCCACTGGAGAAACAAATGGGAAACTTCTCATACATCTTCATCTCTCTCCCTCTTTCTCTCTCTCTCTCCCTCTCTCTCTCTCTCTCTCTCTCCTTTTTCTTCCTTTCCTAGGGATCATGATACTTCAGTTTTTCTGGACCCCTTTTTCCTCACCTCTTGCCCTTTGAAGTCTATCTGTTATATGAAACAAGTTGTGAAACTGCAGAAATGACAGCTAAAATTTTGAAGTCTGGCAGCAGAACAAGGACTAATAATGCATTTCTATTTAGATCAGAGTTGGTTTTCTGATCTGCTGCTCAGACTGACAGATAAAACCCTTATATTAAAATTAGAGGGGGTAAAAAGGCTGTCCTGGCCACAAAACAAATCTAGTTTGAATAGAACTAATGTGTTAGTTGTGATACCCAGAATCTGATGCAGCTTTGGAGACAGCCAGAGCAGATTCTGAATGCAGTTGTGAGTGCTAGTGGAAAATCAGTATAAGTGAATAGGAACTCTGGTCCCAGTTTCCTGCTCTGGTCTCAGCCTGTGCTTCCCTCTTTGTGCACTGATCCTGTGTGTCCCTTTTTGTCTGATGCGGAAGCTGTTAATGAAGATGCTCTTCTGTTCCAGCTGCCTGAAAGTGAGACATTGTCTGTGGGAAGCTTTCTCACTCTGTGATTAGGGAATGAGTTCCTTGCTCACTTCAGACCTGTCCTAACTAACTGAGGTTTAGTAACAAACCCTGGGAGTACCGGTTATCATGACTGTTAGGATATTGCATTGTAAAATGTTAAGTAGGGAACTGTCTCATCTGTGGCAGGATTACTACATCCACTAGTGCAGAGTAGAAGCAAGAAGTGGCACCATTACTTTCCACTTTGGTTGAAGTTGAATGGGTTAGAGAATAAGTTGTGA